AATATACGCCACACACTGTTTTAGAAAATCCTACACACAAACTCTACTACGACCGCGCCATCCTTACCGATAGGACCATTCACTATAATAGACCAGACATAACACTACACGATAAAGTAAGTAAAATCACCTACCTAATAGATATTGCAATACCCAACACACATAACTTACAAAAAACAATAGGCGAGAAGATAAGCAAATATGCAGAGCTTAAAGAAGAAGTGACCAGAATTTGGAGACAAAATAAAGTTTATATAGTACCCATAGTCGTCTCCACCACGGGCGTTATACCCAACCATCTCCACCATAGCCTCAAATTAATAGACCTGAAAGACTCAACATATATTATACTCCAAAAAGCCACAATTTTAAATACCTGTCGAATTGTAAGAAAATTCATGCAATTGGAAGAAAATGAAATAGTTACCCAGAACACACAATCTACATAAATACTCACTCCATGCTGCATTTACTTGGCTTCGGCCCGTATGTGCAGTAAAAACTAGCCAAAGAGCTAAGAAACAGAAATGTTTTCCCTATCATAATAATAATAATTCTTTTATTGTCAAAAATAAATCACAAGAAATTTTATAAAGTCTCTGACTCCTAAACTAGACGAGTCTGTATCTTAGGAATCAGCGACCTCTCCCAGAGTTGTACTAAAAGAACGGGTAATACTACAAAATTAAATCAAAAAATAATAAAAGTTGTAATATAATAAAGTATTCTATATGTGTTATATTTAATACTAAACAACTATACTATACATATATTTAATATATATATATATATATATACAAGACGAGCACACACACAGCATTTATTCCGGAGCAATATGACTTAGAGAACATCTAAAAAAGGAATCATTGCATGATATAGAAAGATCGATATTATGTAAATAGTTAAGTTGTTAAGCCTTTGCTACGACTGAATAACGTTCGTCTTGCGCTGGGATTTCATGGAGCGATATTTACCCGCGTTCGCAGCGGGACCGCGATAGTACAGTATATACAGCTGTCATCGTTGGAACCACACGCATGTGTAAGTAACGATCCAAGAGCAAGTCTTCTCCGATACTATTCCGATGATATCCTGAACGTCAGTCTGAGCGAGATAAGAATGGAGAGCCAGTACCTTCAAAACGGCCACTTGAGGGTTAGGATGGAATTATAGCAGAGCTTCTGACAGTGAGTGGAAAACCGATACTAAAAGTCCTTCAGAAGATCTTTAATTCCGTCCTTCATGGTGGCACTACTGGAGGCGTCGAGCAGAAGTGCGGTGGTCTTGTTCTTCAAGAAAGACGACAACGCTCTCTTGAAGAACTAAAGACCGATTTCTCTTCTGAGCCGCGTGCTGTTTTCGAGAGTCATTACGAATCGTCTCGCACGCAGATTCAACGAATTCCAGCCTCCCGAACAAGCCAGTTTTCGAAAAGGCTTTAGCACCATAGACCACATACATACCCTTCGGCAAATTGTACAGAAGTCCGAGGAGTACAATTTGCCACTATGTCTGGCGTATGTGGACTATGAGAAAGCCTTTGATTTCCGTCGAAATTCGGGCGGTGCTGCAGTCCCTTCAGCGATGCCAAGTTGACTGTCGGTATATCGAAGTGTTGAAGTGCTTGTACAGTAGGGCTACGATGGCTATCCGAGTACAGAACCAGAGTACAAAAGCTGTCCTGCAACTTCAGAGAGGTGTAAGAAAGGGTGACGTAATATCCCCGAAACTCTTCACCGCTGCATTGGAAGACATTTTCAAGCTACTGGACTGGAAAGAATACGATATTAGCGTCAATGACAGGTACATCACTCACCTTCGATTTGCCGACGATATAGTTCTTATGAGAGTATGTTTACCAGGGACAAATAGTCCGACAAGGTAAGTCCAACTTCGATCGAGAGATTTTCAGGAGATTACGACAAATCTTCTCGTTAGACATACCTCAAAACCTCAAGACTAGATTGTTCAACCAGTGCGTGTTGTCAGTGATGACCTATGGATTTGAGTCCTTCACTGCTGGCCGTATAAGGAAGCTCGAAGTCGCGCGCTATGCTCAGAGTTTCTCTGTGTGATATATTTAAAAATGAGGATATCCGCAGTAGGACCAAAGTAACCGACATAGCTCAACGGATTAGTAAGCTGAGGGCCGACTGTATAGCTCGAAGAACCGACAACCGATGTGAAGAAAGATTCTCGAGTGGCAGCCTCGTACCAGCAGGCGAAGTGTAGTCTGTTCCTCCACTAGATGGAGTGACGACCTGGTAAGAAATGCAGGAAGTCAATGGATACAGTTGACTCGGGGCCGTGCTTTGTGGTGTTCCTTGGGGGAGGCCTATGTTCAGCAGTGGACTTGTGAAGGGCTGCAATGATGAAACCAAATCCAACAAAAACTCCACATCACCGTGCAGTCTGAATACTGATTTCCTTTAAGCGTTGCAGTATATCGTAGATATTAGCCAATAGACAGATATTGAAATATATAGATTCAATATCAGATATTTATGTCCAATACCTAAATATGATTTGATATAGGGTAGAATATGAAGAGTGGTATTACACATGACTAGCAATTAGTACAATTGCGTAGGCCGCAGTGGCTTTACGCTCTGCGTTCGTCAACCAAGGAGTGGCTTTTACTGACAATCGATCCACTGGCATGGGACTAGAGATCACTTTACCGCCTCCACGATGGACAAAGTTGTTTCGTAAGATTTGAAAATCGCAGTGCAGGCGAGGGTAAATATCGCAACGTGAGTTCTTAGCCTTAAACATTATAATAGCACGGGAATAACTCGAGCTTGATCCTCGACTCCTCGACGCCAGTTCAATGAATTATTAATAAATTTTCTACGTGATGGTTGTAAGGTAAATCGCAAAATCTTCATATGCAATAAACATGAGTTTATAAAATGAATAACTTTGATCTATTGTTGTCGCGCTGTGCCCGAGCGACGTACCTAAACAGCTGAGCGAGACAACTGCAGGTTGGATTGATTATGCCGATGAAAAATTGACGAAACCATCATTCCGGATTCCGCGGTTTTATCCTCCAAATCTAGATCCATTTAAGGAGGATTGCGTTTATGTATTCAACGAATATATGTATTGTATTCGTTGAATATATAATAAAGGCGGTATAACTGGGCAGTTTTAGTTATTTTAGATTATTTAAATAAAAACATAGGTATATGGCAATGGTAGACGTAGATTGTATTGTAAAAATTTTTACTCAGGTTTCATTATTTATTTATTTAAACTTCGTTGCACAATAATTTACAAAGGCTGACTTACCAACTTAAGGCGTTCTCTACCAGTCAACCTATACTCGTAAGTAAGCAAAGAACACTACTTTTAAGGTGTAATACAATATATTAAAATAAATTAATATAGATATTATAAATTGCAATATTATACAGGGGGATAACAGATGAATCGATTCGTATGTATTAAACGTTCACATTGCAAAAGTTTGATTGGGTTCTCAATACGAGTAATAGGTCATTAACTTGTTGAAATTCAAGAGCTACTTTTGCTTTTCACATACTTTATGTTAGTTGAAACATATAAAATGGAAAACAAATAATATAAAAAAATATATATACTAATTTTTCCGCCAAGTAATTTACCCAGCTAGGTATCACCTTCTCACTTTCTGCCACACATCAATAGTGCTATTATTTTTTTTATAGTATAGGGTGACAAACGAGCACACAGTCCACCTGATGGTAAGTGGTTGCTGTAGCCCATAGACATCTACATCTATCCTCAATAAAGACTCAAGATGCAGATGCGTTGTCACCCGTGAGGACTAAGATGGAATGCCTCTTTTCCAGTAAAAAGGGTCTCCGGTTCTCTGCACTTACAATACGAAACAGCAGCATTAAGCTGCTATTTCACGCCGGTATTCTGTCAGAGCGTGGTCCTTCCCCGGGCGAGCCGACCCATTCGCGCTACAACCATACAATTAATATAGCTACAGCATGGCTCTACCACGTAAAAAATATTATGTTTCAATTTAAATGTTCAAAAGCTTTTATATTTACATTACAGACAGAAGATAACACAGTGGGCGCAGTAGTCCATAAACATCTTCACCTATCCTTAATTACTCGTAACCGTGCCACTGTCCCGTGAGGCATATATAAACATTTCAGTTGTTTAACTATTGTGTATATCGCAAACAGGGGAACTAAAGAACTAAGAATAAAAAGTATTTGGGTTACCCTTAGGTTTGTAATGCCTTGTTACCAGCAAAAAGAATATCCGATTCTCTTTACAAAATTTTTAACAGTGGTAGAGCTACGCGGCAGCTTTTGCTGTCGCACGGATGGGCCGGCTCGAACCGGGGTAGTACCACGACCTCACAGAAAACCAGCGTGAAGTAGAGGTTTACCTCTGCGTTTCGCTTGGTGAGTGCAGGTGGCCGGAGGCCCTTTTTACTGAAAATGAGGCATTCCATCTTAGTCTTCACGGGTGACAACGCATCTACATTTTGATTTGTAACAGAGGATAGATGTAGATGTCTATGGGCCGCAGCAACCACTTACCATCAGGTGGACTGTGTGCTCGTTTGTCACCCTTATCCTATAAAAAAAATAACCTATACGAGGCACAGTAGCATTATGCTGGTACTTGTGAGGGGTAGGTTCGTCCCCTATTAAGCCGACCCATTGGTAGTGCGATCATAACCCGGCTGCAGGGTGGAGTGTGGCTCTATAACGTAATTTGACATTTCGTATTAGCTTAGCCTTAATGAGTTGCAGCGCTAACCGCCCCGGGTCCGAATTCTACACGGAACAAGTATTTGTATGGCCTAGAAGTAATTGTTTCGGGTCTGGATGTTTGTCCTTGTGAAATTTGTGTATGTTAACGGGCTCCACGGTACAGGACAAAATCCTAGTGCGGAGGTAGCGTTTTAAATAAAAAAAAAATGTATTTATTGGCTGCGTAACGAACGCATCTCATCTCGTAAGAGCGACGTCTACTCGCGAGGCGCTAGTCTCTCGCCGTGTCTCTAATCGCGCAGCATCCGCGCTCACTTCGTCGCTTCTTGTTTAATCTAATATTTTCTTACGAATAGTAATTTTTGTATAGATTTGTATTGGAACACTAACAGAAGTTTATTTAGTTTTAACTTGCGTATTAATAATATTAATTTTGTTTTGGTTATCTTCATTATGGTGAAAAGTGAAAAATGTGGACGAGTAGACGGATTTGATATTGTCAACATGGTCATAAATTTAAAATGACTTATCCTATAGGTAAGTATTTAATATCTATTTATTTATTGTTTTTTTTTTATTTTTATTTAAATCCAATAAGATAATTACTATATCATTCTATATAAGTGTTATCGATCACTAACAATTTTTTTTTTGTGATCGATTTTTTTTATGAGTGATAATGATAGCAGTAGATAAAAATTAACACAATACTTTCATCATCATCATTACAACTCTTCACAAGTCCTCTGCTGAACATAGGCCATCCCCAAGGAATGCCACAAAGCACGGTCCTGAGCCTCCTGCATCCATCGACTTCCTGCATGTCTTACCAGATCGTCACTCCATCTAGTGGGGAGACGCCCTACACTTCGTCCGTCGGTATGCTGCCGCCACTCGAGAACCTTTTTCCCCATCAGTTGTCAGCTCTTCGAGCTATATGGCCGGCCCATTGCCACTTTAACTTACTAATCCGTTGGGTTATGTCGGTCACTCTGGTTCTACTGCGGATATCCTCATTTCTAAGTTCAGCCCTCTCTATAGCTCGTTGAGCGACCCTGAGCTTCCTCATCCGGCTAGCAGTGAACGACCACGTCTCAGTTCCATAGGTCATCACTGGTAACACGCACTGGTTGTAGAGTTTCGTTTTCAACTTTTGAGGAATGCCTGAATACAATACTTTAAATAACATAAATTATTTTATATTAAAATTTCAAGATAAAAGCGAAAAATGATTCTATACTTAAAAAAATCTAAATATTTTTTTAAATAGTTCTTCTAAATAGTAGCTTGGTTCTTCCCAGTATAGAGGTATTTTCCGAACCAGTGATAGATAAAAAAATCCTTTCAATAAGTATTATGTAATAATCTATATTGAAATTTTATTTCATTTTTATTTTTGAAGCCTCTTTGTATTTCTTATTAAAATGTAACTACATAAAATACACATAAGGTATTTTATGTTTGCAGAAGATAAATATTAAGTATATTTGCGGAATATAATGCGACTATTTGTATATCTTTGTGCGTTTATACATCTAATATTACGTGTACTTATATATTATAAAGAGCCGTGGAAGCTCAGATGGTTCGAACCCGGGTTCGATCCCCGTCGGCACTAATGAATTTTAAGTGCGGAGTTACCACGTGCTCGGCGGTGAAGGAAAACATCGTGAGAAAACCAGTATGTCTGAGAAATAAGAAAAAAATGTTTCGAAGTCATGTGAAGTTTGTCAACACGCATTATGGCAGCGCGGCGGACACTTTGTTGCCCTAAAACCCTCTCAGAAAGGAGGCCTGTGCCCAGCTGTGGGACGTATATAGGCTGTAACTTTAACTAACTTTTATATATTATAAATATTTATTATTTTGTTGTATGCCTACTTTTTACATTTATGTATGGTTTATGGATGGTACTGCATTGGCGTTTAACATTCGTCTTTAGTTTACATTACTAGTCTGCCTGCTTACGAGTAAAATGAAAGCTGCAGCTAACGGAATTTTTCGACATACGAGTATTTTGAGATACGAGAATTACATCCAAGCATTTTTGTTTCATTTCTTCTTTCGACGGAAAGCTGTAAAACACATAAAAATATTGTTCTTTCAATTATAGGATATATATGTATGTACAAATAGTAATTATTAGAAGCATAACATAAATATTTTTTATCATAAATACAAGAAACCTCTATGTCTCACGTCACTGTTGTCAGCAAACAAAATTGTTAATGCTTATCTGTGAAATGATATGCCACACCCACCATATGATTCACTTTTACGTGACTTGATGCAACACATTTTAACCATTTTCAGTCAGAAAAAGTAAAAGAAAATTTTACTCAAACTGATAATGCTTTTAAATAGTTTATATTTATATAAAATAGTTTATATTTGGTCCTATGAAAATTCATTTAATATTGTATAAACAAAATTATTGTTAAGTGAAATTATGTTTAAAAAAAAGTCCCCCTGAGTTTCTTGCTGGTTCTTCCCAGGACAGAGGTATTTTCCGAACCAGTGGTAAATAAAAAATGACTTTCAATAAGTATTATGTAATAATCATTATTGAATAAAAATCATTCTTTTCTATTCTATTCTATTCTATTCTATTCCATTCTATTCTGTTCTGTTCCGTTCTGTTTAGTTCCGTTCCGTTCCATTCTGATCTGTTCTGTTCTGTTCTGTTCTATTCTATTCTATTCTAAACGTCTCCGCAACTCCGTAACACTAAATCAAGTAGCCATGTACACTCAACACATTATAGGATTGATTATTATTACCAGAGTGATTATTACTAACAGTCAATAAATTTTATTATTTTACGATTTTGCAGGGCTCGTAAGCAAGCAATAATTTTCTTCGTAACTTAAATTACGCCTTAAGAGTTGATCTAAAGAAAAAATGCCTCAAGAGAATAAGGTGTCCGCCCATATACCACGTGTGTTTATATAAAGGTTTAAATAAATAAATAATATAAAATTAACATCAAAAATTATAACCGCTTAAATATACATACTTAACGGTTTAATCCAAATCTAAAGTTGGGCCTATTAGATCAGAATCAGTTTTATTTTCATCTTGAGGAAAACCATCAGTTCGTTTATTTCCGTGGGTATCGTGACAGGCTCCTATGGCATATACCTTTCTGACTGGATATTATGGCTTTCGATAGAAGGCGGTGTAACAAATATTGTATTTTTTATCGCATTATTAGTTATTTATTACAAGCATATGTGGTAAGAACCACGCTGCAGATATATTATGGTTATAGCGCGATTGGGTCGGGTCGACCGGGTAGGACTACGTTCTCACAGAATATCTGCGTAAAATAGCAGCTTAATGCTGCTGTGTTTCGTATGGCGAGTGTAGAGAACCCGAGACTTTTTTTACTGGAAACGAGGCATTCCATCTTAAACCTAAGGGGTGAAAACGCATCTGCATTTTGATTCTTAATCACGGATAGATGTAGAAGTCTATGGGCCACAGCATCCACATACCATCAGGTGAACTGTTTGCTCGTTTGTACCAAACTTATTCTATTAAAGAAAATAGTGACCCGCACCAGGCCTCTGTCACTCTTGCTACCTGCGTGAAATAATTACCTACAATCGCGAGCTGCCCTAGGGGTAGATCGCAGTCGGGGCTAGCGCGCTCTATACGATTGAATGCTATTTTTTTTAACGCTGTTTACGTTATTAATTTTTTGTAAATACTTGTTGAAATACTCGTCGAAATAATTTTTGTTGTGTTTAGTATAAATGTATATGTTCAGTATAAATAATTGTAGGATAAAATAGTTGAAAAAGTTTTAATGTAATTTAAGAATAATATATATGTATATTACCTATCTATTTGATAAATTATAATGGCAAAACGTCGTTCCTACTATAATTGTTGAAGGGATGAATGCTTAATGAGCAATTAAAAGGATTCAGATAGATCATTTTCGAAATACTGAAGGATAATGAAATTATTTATTTAGTTTATTATTTAAATAGAATTTATTTAATTTTTTGTTAGATAGGTACTTATAGCGAATAGTTAAGTAATAATTTAACTACAGAAGTAATACCTAAGTACTTTATTACAAAACTTAGTTAAAATTTACTTCACTACCCAAGTACCTACTTTCATACCTATACTCGTCTTTCTAATTAAAATATTTTAAGTTATAATTTTCGGGTTTATTTTCCCGACGAATGGCCTTGCAAGTTGCATGCGTTGGGCATCACAGAACTCACATAGTAGGTAATATGGTCGATTATAGTCAGCATAGGTACTTTACCTAAGGAACTTACCATTTCACAATGTATTTTACTCTTTCTTAACAGCCCTTAGCAACCATGGAAAGTCCGTTGTGACGTAGTAAGGAGAAAACATGCAAAGTAATACGGACAATCGCACGCAACGATAAAGTTTTATTTAGCTTGCGTGCGCGATTTATCTGAATAATAATAACTATGTAGGCTATTAAAACGTCGGCAAGCAGTCAACATCAAAACAGTGCAACTTCTATACGTTAGTACTATTATTTATTCTGTGCTCGCACTGGCCGAGATCTGAGAAGGGTATATTAATGTGGCGTTATTTATATTTGAGATAATGATATCTCTAAGTTTTGCGGATAAAATATAGCCTACATCCTGGCATTCCTTTTATCTGTTCGTGAAGTTTGGTTATTCATGAGTATATTTTTTTACGTGGTAGAGCCATGCTGCAGCTATATTAGTAGTATAGTGTAGCACGAATGAGTCGGCAAGACCGGGGAAGGACCACGCTTTCACAGAATACCAACGTAAAATAGCAACTTAACACTGCTGCATTTCGTATGGTGAGGGTAGAGAACTGGAGACCCTTTTTACTGGCAAAGGGGCATTCCATCTTAGTCCTCACGGGTGATTTCAAGGATTTCAAGATTTCAAGTCCAGCTCATCGGGAAGTTAAGAGTAGTTTAAAATCAATTATCTTTCAAAATATCTTTTTTTTTTCTGTGGCAACCCTGGTGACAAGTTGTAAAATAATTGCTCCCAACTATTTTTAAAAATTAAATATTGTAAATTAATAATATCCACCTCAATTTTGAGTTACAGTTGTTATATACGACTTATTTGTGATATAAGTAAATATTCAGAAGTACCTGTTTTAATTACATACATTGTGTTTACTGTTCCAACCAAAAGTAACAGCTGTAACGAACATCGTTTAAACGTATTGTAAGTGTAATTCTTGTTATCCCTTTAACATTTTAAGATTTACCTATTAAGTGTTGTTGTGGATTTCATTTTGAATTATTTACATGATAATTTAATTTGAGATCTGTAAATAAGCCCATACATCTCGACATTTGCTTACTCTGCTTCTTTGGTTTTCTTTCTTTGTTTTCTTTTGCTATTTACATTTAATAGTAAAATGAATACACGCAACGCCAAAACGCGCCAATTGGAGAACCAACTTCAAATGGCGCTTCAAGAACTTAAGGCGTCAAAGGAGCAGTGTGAGCTGTTAATTAAAGAAAGGGATGACAATGAAAAGGAAAT